AACCCGTGGGGATTACAATTGAGATGAAAAAAAAAAGTGCAAAATGATGTAAAAATAAACTTTTTAATAAAAAAAAAAAAAGAAAAAAAAATCTTTAGGCTTCTACTCTCCCAAGTGACTGCTGGTCATCATATACCTGTCTCCATTTCCCCCATTGAAGAGTAACATAGCCACGTCTGGGCTGTTGACTAGATGTTGATGGTCTAACTGGTAATGTGTCCACTGCAGTGACACAACCATCTGGGTGTGTCTCTTGTTCTCATTTATTCTTCTGGTCACTAGTTATGACAGAGATGGCCAACTATCCAAAAAGCTATCACATGCAAGGGATGGCCTTTCCATCCTCCCACTCCCACCCTCAACACTTACACTTACGAATATGAGTAGAAAGAAGATATGAGTCAAGGTCTTCAAGAAGTGGTTGGTTTTCTTCATGCTTTTTTTTGTCCTGTTGGCTAGAGGTGAACTACAAATTTTTGAGTGGCAGGGGAGCCACAATGCAGGACTCTTGAATAACTATATAGGGAAGAGTTACCCTAACCAGAAATATTTTTCTTAGGTTATTACATGGGTGAGAAACAGACTTTCGCTGCATCTAAAGAAGAGTATATTATAGCAGTTCATTATCATTCTAAGTGAGCTGAGTCTGGCTTGGACACCCAACCCTCCCATTAGTGTGTTCTAATGTTTAGACATGAAAAGGAGACTCAGATCTCCCCTTTGGCCCCGATGATGTTCTCCAGATCAACACTTACAGGTGTTCTTATGATTTCGAGGACATTGGACTTTAGTTTTCCCATGAATAAAACCATCATCTAACTCTACAATTCTTTAATCTATTTTTTATTGATTAGAACCATGATGGAGAAGGTGGGTGGCTGGTATATTCAAAATACACCTGACTCACTGAGGTTCTGGAGAGAGCCTCCTTGTAGTTAGGGCATGAAAATGAGAAAATGCGTGTGCTAGAGGAACAAAATATATCAGATGCTAGATAAGAAGCTCCATCCCACCTTGCAAATGGGAAGGTGGTGGTAAAAGCTGGGACTCAGATTTAGGCACGAAGGGCTACAATGGTGTTCCCACCAGAACTCTGTAAGAGAGCATGACCCCAAAGGTCAGGGGCTCACTGTAAGTGCAGACCAACTGCTGGAAGGGATGCTTACATGGCATGGCAGATAGAACATGGCAGGTGAGCAAATTTAGGGAGTACACCTAGAACATTTCTGAAAGCTTATAGCTACCAATTATAGCCCAGATTCCTTCCCCTGAAGTATCTCCTGGGTACCACAGTTTTCTTGATGACCAGATCAGGGTAGACTGGTGAACAAAACAGCCATGACTTAGAATTTACGATGGAGAGTCTCCCTGCTATGCTTTCGACTGGGGCATGGTATATGACAATCAATTACGCATGAGGAGGCAAGACGGGTGCTCTACTCTCTAGCAACATCCTAGTATTCGTCCATAAAAGATTTTCCCCTGGTTCTTTCCTCCAGGCCTCCTACCCATCTGTCTCCTCATGAGCTCATTCACCCCTCTGGTAGGGTGTGGACTAAAAAGGAACTAGCACAACCCCAACCACAATCCACATTAGCACAACCCCAGTTTGGGGAAAGACAAGTTGCCAACATGTAAGAGAAGAAATTTACACAAAAATACAAGTATATATATATTTTTTGCAACAAAAGAAACTATTTATTTGGAATATGCATTACCAGTACAAATTAGGAAACTGTAAAACCTACACCGTGTTAGTATCATTAGAGAACACAAAAGTTCAGTTGGAATCAAAAGGGACAGAAGCCTGTGCTCTCACAGAAGCAGAAAAGCTTAAACTTTCAAAACCAAAACAGCAGAATTTTGCAGGTTTATACTCTGAATAATAAGAACAGGGGAGGGGGAGTGGGAGAATAAAACCAACAACCAAAGGAAAGCACTTCAAAATAATCGAAAACTCCAAAGAAAAGAAATAATAGGCAGGGGTGGGGGGGGGAGAACATTGAATGCTTTATTTATTTTCACATAAGAAAAAAAAAAGTTTACAAAAAATAAAAAGATTCCAGAAAGCTTTGAGCTAGAGATTGAACCCATAAAGGTGATGCGAAAAGCCCATCCTTGTTTCCTTATGACTTGGAAACAAACGCACAAGTGTTCCGGCAGAAACACTTCTAAAAGTGCTGCTCCACAATTCTGCAGTTTGTCTTCACTTTTCTTGTATAGGGTTGTTTTCTGGAAACTTAATCATTATTGAATAAAAAGATATTTACAGTGAGTCTCTCCCTAGTAACTGTGCTTTCATTTCTCCCATCATTAATAAAAACATTCTGAATCAAGCCGGTTTTTACAATTTGCTTCAAGCAGCTGCCTAAATCAGAGGTGAGCTAACAGGTGTACTGTCCAAGCCTCAAAATTAACCTCTTCACATTAAAGTGACAGCATGGAATCTGGTTCCATTTCTTCATCCAAAATCACGACTCAACTGATCTGTGGGTGGTCTGGCCCCAGGTTCAGCTTCCTGGATCCGGCTGACAGAGTCAACACAGTAGTCCCACTCTAGGAACTCCTGTGGAATTCTTCAGGACGGGAAAACCCTCTCTAGCTGGAAGAGGCGTCATAGAATGTTGTTATTAACCAGACAGAAAGAAAAGAAAGCACTTCATTGTGACATCCAGTCCACAAAGGCAAAGCCCTGCCCCTACAATATAAAAGCCTCCCTGGACTGATTCCATGAGTTTTCAAAGGAGGGTCAAAGCAGAATCCAAGTCCCCGAATTTGCCTTTCTCAGGAGCTGCGGGAGTGTCGCAGACATGCTGGAAATTCAGCTGAGCCATGTGACACCGACATGGGCTTTGCAAGTGTTTTTGCAGTCAACTGAATTGTGAAGCAAAGTAGAAGTGGAAAGAAACCACCTAGTCTACAATTGTTACCTTTTCACACCACCTCATATACATATTAAGGAATAAAAACAGCAAAATCATAATCCTGACCGAAAAAAGAAAAAGAAAGCCCCCCCATAAACAAACCAAAAATAACACAAAACATAATTTTTTTTTAATATTTTAAAGAGCAGGAATAAAGAAAAGAAAAGAATTTATTTCTGGGTCTCAAAGTTAATAAACATAATAACGTGTTAGGTTGTACCTATTATGCTCACTATTCCAACCTTTTTTTTTTTTAGTTTACAAAATGAATTACTGTCACTTTTAAACATTGTGGAACAGGAAATGGATGTGCACAACTCGACACTTTTCTAGCATTCTTGAACTAATTCACAAATGCAAGAAAATAAAAGAAAAATGGGGGAAATGATGAATGTAGGTAGTTTGGTGTTAAAAACTAATGCAGGAACGAATGTGCATTGTCACAGAAAGAGGAGGGGAAATTCCCCACCCTGTTTTGCGTGCTATGAGGGTCATTTTTAAAATTTTTATTATAAACACTATTAAATTCAGACCGCTTTTTGGTTTTTTTTTCTTTATCTGAATATACAAGAACATTCATTATCAAATGTTCATCATCAATACTACAAAGAACGAGACACAAGTCGCAAGAAACAATGGAAAATGTTAATAAAGCTGAAAGAATCATTGAGTATTTTTTTTGTTTTTTTAAGTTTTTTTTAAATTTGAGTTTCTGTAGTTTCATCTTTTTTGGTATCGAAGTCAGGTTTTTCTGGGCAGAAAAATAAAACTCAGAAGGAAAAGAGGGAAGAAATATGTGTGAGAAAAGGCAACCGGCAAATAAAGAACCACCACCACAGAGCAATAGAAACATAAATGGAAAGAAGGTGCCATTTGGCAAAAGTACTGCCTAGGAGTCAATTCCACGCCAGGAGTAGGTACTAGGGATGAAAGGCAGAGAGGACGAAGAGTGACGAGCTGGCAAGGTCAAGGACTGGTGTTATTTTAGGGGAGCTCTGCAGCCAGAGAAATGGAACACTCCTACTCCATCAGAAAGTGAAGAACTTCTGGGGCACATTTTGCTATCAGTAGGACTAACCTAGGATGAATTCCCGGGGCACTACATTTCCAGAGGCACACTCTTTCCATCCCCATCCTCTGCTGCCAATGTGGTTATGCTTTGTTTAATGCAGAAAGAGCTCATGGCGCCATGTTGGATATGCTTATGGACATGGGGGAAGACTGTGGGCAAGGCGTTGCATGTGAAGAGGACTGACTGCAGTGCTGGGTGGGGAAAGTGCTGAGAGAGGTGATAATCAGTGCAAACAACAGCAGGAAAGAAACTACCTGTGTAAGAGTAGTACTGCTCTGATCCTTTTCATTCATTAACTTGAAATGTTAATCATTCAACCCAAACCTGGAGTCATTCTTCCTGATCCCAAGAGAACCCTTTCAGTACCTTTTTTTTTTTATTTTGCCCAAAGTCAGGCAAACGTGACCCCACGAGTCCTCTGTGGGTAGTTTCAACATATCCCTGCCATTAAGAGAAAATTCTCCATTGAATCCAATAACTAGGGGGATTGTTACAAGATGGCTACTTCCAGGATGGAGCCTGGCTGTGATTATGGCACAGAATAGCAGACATACTCCAATAGCAGACATGGTCTTAGTCATTAAAGCATAATCCCAGTTAGCCATATATTTGCTTTTTGCAATTCCTTTAAATTTGCATGATCTTCAGCTTAAAACATCTCTACCTCGAACACACACAGCAGCAGCATCTTCTAGTCATATTGTGCTGCCCTGCAGAATTTCTGTGACTTTGTTAGCTGGTTAGCCCACAGGTCTCCTCCCAGTCTCTCTAGCAGTCAACACAACAGGGAACAAAGTACTTACATGGCCACATACTGGAATCAAATACACACCAAGAGAACCTGCTTCTATTTTTCTAGTTTGGAAGCTTAGCTCTATTCTGAGAAACCATTCAAACAAATTGAACCAAAATACAAATACAGTGACAACCTCATCATCACGGTGATGACATCAGGATATGAAGGGTAACCAGGAGTTAGAACAAGGAAACCAAGTTACTGTCCCTCTAGGACATAAACCAACTCATGTCAGGGACTTCACTCCTACTCTCTTCATATGTGTGAACTGTATATGAATAAAATCAGTCTCTCACAAGCCTCTTGGTGAGTTAGGCATAATTATTCCCATTTTACAGATGAAGAAAATGAGGCACCAAGGGTAGACCATGTACTTCCCATGTTATCAAGAGACAGAGCTGCCATTTCTGTCACTGGCCTAGTTGGCTATGAATATAAGCTCAGGTGACATCAGAGAAAAACTTTCTGGTACATACTCTTCAACATTTCCAGGGACTGAAAATCATTGTGACAGTTTCACTGAGAACATCATCTCCCCTGCTGCATGACTAACATGCCTTTAATTTAAACTACCAAAAGAGTTTGCCTGAGCCATGTTCTTACCTAACTCCTCCAGAACAAGAGGTTAGGAATCAATAATGTGGTGCCATCTAACACTTTGGATAATTAACACAATGTCTCTAAACTAAAACATAAAACCAAACATAACCCACGCCATGACAGACATTATAAAGTATGAGGGGGGGCAGGTGGCTCCCTGAGAGCTCCAGAGGTGGGAGGAACAGGAGGAGTATACATTGCAAACCTGGACTTCCTCATGATCAAGTGCTTCTGGGGTAGGCACGCTGGGGCTGCAGATCCTGGAGGCCCCAAGCATGTATTGCTTCTCTGTGTCAGTGACCTTCACTTAAGAGTTGCCAATTCCCTCTTGGGCTCGTGAGGCATAATGCTGTGATTTCCCATGCAGGTGTTTGCATGTGGCATATGACTAATCGCGGGGGAGTGAAAGTATATGCTGTGCATGTACTTATGTGTGTAGACCATTGAAGGGTTACAGGATTAGAACTTTCTTTTTCTCAGTGATGCACTCATTCCCAGACCTACTCAGTCCTACTTTGCAGTAGGCTTTGAACATTGCTTACTAAAAGTTTCATGGTCTCCAAAGCAGTGCCTTTGAAACCAAGAGGTGTTATCTGGAGGATGACAAAGTCTCTATAAGACGTCAACCCTTCTTATTCCCTGTGCCCGCTCCTCTTGCCTGACTTCCTGCCTGGGAATCACTGAGTAGAGCTGAAACCAGAAAACATGGCACCTTTAGAAGCCTAGTCATAACAATGCCCAGGGAGTTCCTGGAGCTGGGAAAGAAGAGGAAAGTGTTCTAACCAGAATTGTCCCCAGGGGGCCAATAGCAAAAGGAGGCAGGGAGGGCTGGAATGAGTAGGGCGATGTGAAGTATTCCTGCTAAGAGGTAGTGAGAGTAAGAGAAGCAGAGAAGGATTGCCTGTTAACATAGGGAGCGAGGGATCCGAGTGAGGTAAATTTGGCTCCTCAAACCACCAGCATGAAAACATACAAACACTTTTTTTTTATTATTTTCTTTGTATTTTCTCTTAAGTTCCTCTAATTGTTGAAAATATCCTCTAGGGATGTAATGAGGGCAGGGGCCCTGGGAGTCTAGGCAGGAGGGCAGGGGCAGGGAGGATGACGGACACCAGGCTGACAGTTGGAGGCAGGGAAGGGTGGCTTCTACCCAGAAAAAAAAAGGGAAGAGAGTATAAAGAAGTGTCCAGATTGGCTGAAATAGCATCCCAAAGAAGAGAAGAGAAGGAGACTCTTATTGTGTTTGCTGATTGCTTCGACCTCCAGTCTGACCGCTTCAGCGTTGGGAGAGAAACCCTCCCTCCTGGCCCGACCCGACTGGGGCCCAGGGTCAGCCGGGATGCGATTGCTGGGAGATCAGTTGGAGGTATCAGAGTGAACACTGCCAGGGCCTTCTGTAGGGGAGGTCACTGATGAAGGGGTAGTAGCATCCTGCCAACCTCCATTAGCCTAGAAGGGAAAAAGGGAGAGAAGTCAGTCCTCTGAGATCGGTGTCTGTGAAGAGCAGGCAATGACAACAAGTCAACTTGTGGACAAGGCCGAGCACAGTGCCTGGCACCTGGGGACATTCCACAACTAGACAGCTGTTTCGTGGTGGATAATATTCCCCCCGCCCTCAAATGGGCTCTGGATCCTCCCATTGAGACTCTGGACAAAAGTCAACACCTCCCGCTGCTCAAAGAATCTTGATTTTGGTCCAAGTTGTCAAATAACTGGTACATATGCTCTAGCAGAGTGCAGCTGCCTGGCAGGTCAAGACACCTGACTTTTAGTTCTGACTCTGACAAGGATGAACCACCACATCTGCCCTTTGGCCTTGGGTTCCTCTCAAGGAAAACAAAGAGGTTGCCCAGGCTCTCTGAAGGTCCTCTCCCGCTCTGGATGCTCCCTGTTATAGATTCCCAGGTACCTGTTTTGGACAAAGTTCTGTAATGGATGCTCTCAATGATGAGTGGGATAAGATGAGCCCACGAACAAACTATAGTTCATAGCAAAACCTAACTCATGGTAAGCCCAGTTGTTATGAAAGTTCAAATGAAGGTGAGATTCCATCCTATTGGTGCTTCCACAAAGCCTTCATAGAGGAGGAGCTCTTTATAAAGCAGAGGGTGATTCAGGGGAATAAAACAGATAAACCAAGGTCCCAAGACCGTTAAGGACAGGTCTGCATGAATATAGTATGGAGAGAAGTGGTGAGAGAAGGAGCAACGAAAGTGTGACTTTCACTTGTGGATCATTTTTCTAAGACTCTAAACCCAGAAGCATCCTAACAGTGGACATTTCCAAAATGATTTATTTTCATGAGCGCCTTTTCCCACAAAGACCTCATCATCAAAAGAGCTGAAGAGGATTTGCTCTACTGGCTAATACATGATGCGTAAGTCATGACTGTTCATGTCTTCTGAAGCACTGAAGTGTAAGTATACTATAATCTCCTCCTTCCTGGCCCCCTATCACTGCGTCCCTTTGGAGTTAATGGGCCTCAAGTCTGGGAATGTTTAAGCGGAACAGACCAGGTCTTAAACATTCCTGTTAAGTATCTTCTATTGTATATTCTTCTCATTTTACTCCCTGAAATATTTGGAGTAGATGAAGCAGATAGTATTCTTGCCATTTGGTGGGGACCATGGCAGATAGTAAGATTTGACATCTGGGGGGAGTGGGGGAACCCTGGCCTCTCCAGCATAATGCGCAGGACTGGGGAGAGTGCTTGGCCTTGAGTAGGTGATGCCAAACATCTGCTCACAAGTCACTTGGGAGAAAGCAGTGGTGCCAGGGAGAAGCAGGCTCTGAGTTATAACTGAGACAGACACAGCTTCCTGACCTTTGAATCAAGTTCCCTTTCGCCTGTTTTTCATCCATTTGGCGTCTGTGTCTTTGGCTCATCCAAACGATGATCCAATTTCCCCAGGAAAGCCAGGCCTTCCATTTAAAGCCCCTCCTGCCAGTTACTACTGCATGAGGCTGTTGTTTTACTCCAGCCCTCAAAGACCCCAAAGAATAGATCTGGATATCAAGAGGACACAAGAACACTTCACCTCAAGGCAGAGCAATGGCAAGCTGTTCTCAAGGTCAGCATCACCTAGCTTTGGCAGTTCTCCCACTTCTTCCTGTTGGAGGATATCACCCCTGGGAAGGAGGACAATGAAGGGGAAAAGAGAATTCTTCCTTTTGTAGCAGTCTTCGGGGCCAAGACTCTGCAGTATGCTCAAAATCAAGATTCAATTTCCTAACACAGGCTGGTTGCTGGGATGATACTACCTTAGCCTCCCTTCATAACATATTTTCTGGTACCATTTTCGATTGATTGAGAATGGTGGTCAAATTTATTTCCCCCACATAGAAAAATCCTTTAATATTTATTCTTATTATAAAAGGAATATATGTTTATAAATATTTGCAATCCTCCATGCAAATAGTTGAAAAATAGAAAAAACAAAACCAAAAAAGCCTAAAACACCCGTAATTCTCTAACTCAGGGGTAACTGCTAACTGCTAACATATCAGTCTGCTCTAATAGTATTGTTTACATGTGCATGATCACTAGATAGGTCGATAAATATGTAAGTGTGTGTGTGTGGGGTGCGTGTGTGTGCACAGAGTATTCTGGGATTTACAGAAAACTAGACAGAAGTTTTAAAAGTACAGTGTCATAAAACAGAGTAAAGTGTTGCTAAAAGAGGGAAAAAAGGGCATGTTCTGGATTAAAGGTGGGAGTCTAGAATATGAGATAGTTTTGGGGCAACATGTCTGGTCTACAGTCCCTGAGCAAGCACATGGCATGGAGGAGATTGATCACGCTGCTCATAAATCACACGAATGCTATTACTTTGCCACGCTGCTATGACTCCATCAAACAATAAGTGGTCCCCAAATGAAGCCATTAGTAAGAAAATGAGTTTTGTTGTTTCCTTATGAGGGAACTTGCAAGGCATGCCACATTGACCGGAAGGTTCCAGAAGTCATTTTTGAAGTTTGGACTCATCTCTGAAACAACTGAAATAACTCAAACAGTAGACATCTGATTTGTCTCCTTACAAGGTTCTATTTTCCCAAACCAGCGCGCAAGACGCCAGAGGGTATGGAAAATTCACAGATGGGAGAGCCAGGAATTAGTTCAAGCTGATATCAAAACTGGCATTATAATTGTTAATTTGCCTGGCGAAGAATACATAAAACATTCTATTAAAAATAAGTAACTAAAGCAAATCTCTTTTAGTTGCCCTTTCCCCTCAAGTCCCTGTCTATCCAGAAACGTGCAGAGCAGACTAGATCACCTATCACCCAAGGGGTCCAGAGGCTCCCTGGGAAACCCTGCATTCCTGTAAGCCCTGAGTTCCAGGCAGACTGGAAAGGTGGGCGCCACACCCTGGACGCCCCAGCTATGACCCTACTTACCACGCCAAAGCCACTGTCGCTGATGATTTCAATGAGGTCAAGGGCTTCAGGGGAGTGTCTAACACTGGGAAGTGGGGGAGAATTCTTTTCTCTGCAGGTGCTTTATACCACAGTATTCAGTCAGCTGCCTTAGCTGCTTAAACCTCCACATTGAGATCAAAAACTGCCAGCAAACCCAACTTAACAGGGTTCCCGTAAATCACTTGGGTTGCTTCTGCTGTACCAGTGCTGCTTTAATGTAAGCCGTTCACAGGCTGCACCGTCTTGGGAAACAGCTGACCTCGCTTACTGCCACGTTAACCCTGGGGAGCAATTTCTCTCCTCTTCCCCCACTGCAGTGAATATTAAGTAGGAAACTCTGCCTTTGTGTTTTTATTTATCTCTGGACACAGTGAGAGTCAAGATGGTCTCATGAAGAACTGTGTGGGGGGTTGTGGGGGGGTAGGGAGGAAGCTTATTTTTGTTTTTCCTCTGTACCCCAGCTACCTCTGTCCCTCACTGATGCAAACTATCCTTTAGCATGGAGATGCTCATTTGTCAAAACGCTGATTTTGGAAACCGCACAGAGAGGTGACGGGTTGCAGGGGGAGGACATTTGCAAACCCAAATGTATCTTTCTTTTCATCTCTGAAAACATCCCCAGTGGCACCTTGCACCCAGTTTTACAGGTAATTCTATGACCCATGACCTAGAAAGCCAGACCGGATCTAACATTTCCTTCCATCAGGTATAGCCGAAGCCAGTAACTGGCTCACCTGGAATCTCAGGGAGAGAACAGAATATCAAACTAGGGCAAAATGCAGCAGGTTTCCTGGATAAGACATTGAACTTTCAAAACACAAAGTCAATGTATTCGGGAACAAAGTGCTTTAGGATGAAAAATGAGCATTTCTTCTATATCCCACCCGAATGAATTTGGCACATTATTTGATATACACCAGATTTGGCCAAAAACCCATCTAATGGATAAAGCAGAGGGAGCCTGTCTGGGGAGCCTGCCATGGAGTGGGGGATGGCGTGACGGTCGGTGGGAGGAGAGCAATGTTTCTTCTGACAAGAACCAACAGCCCAGAGTTATATCTGAATCCCTCAACTTTCTCCTCTGCCGCCCTCCTTGAGCTGGAACAGGGGCCTCTCCCTGGCTGTGGCCAATCCATCCTGCTCTTAACCCAGATCAGGGCTTGGCTGCTGGGCTGAGAACCACCGCCCCAGCCTCCTCTCCTGCCTGCTCCTCCTTTGAGCTTACCTTAGCAGCACATGGTTGATGCAGAGAATTCATCACCTGATGTGACAGCCCAAGCGAGCCTGGCACTAAGAAACTCTCATTTGCAACCCAGAAATACGCTGAGATGCCACAAACTGGCTGATGTCAGCACCGAGTTGAGCTCTATCTGCATAAGGGCCAGATGCCATTACCAGAGATGCTTCAGCACGGGTGAGGAGATGTACGTGCCCCAGGCCCACAATCACCCACATACTGGGGGCTGGTCAGGAGGAATGACATGGAAATGTGGGTGCACCCTCTGCACACACACAAGTTGGTGTACATACACACACACACACATTGTGCCATTGTGTCAGCCTACGCAGTGGAGGTCACACCCTACAGCCACTATTTTCTTATCAAGCTGAAAGAGCTACATGTTCCTGATGTGGCTATATGTCCCCTTCCCCTCCCTCCCCAGCAAGACCTACCCAGAGATGCTCTGGAAGGAGATATTAGTGGAAAGCCCGGTGGAGGGGCTAAATATTCAAAATTCCCCTAATCTGACAACTGTAAACTGCAGCATACCTGGTCAGGTGACCTTGCGATTCTGTCTCTAGCCACCAAGCTTGTACTGAGCTTTCAAGCTTGTACTGTTGATCATGCCACATCCTGAGTAACCCTTCAAGTGCTCTCATTGCCCTGAAGTTTTCGTCAGGCTTCTCATGTCTTTGACCTTGTTTAACCTCCAACTCAAGGCAGGCATTGTAGCACTTCAACCACACCAGGGGCTCAGCTACCCCGCCATTTCTCTCTCCTTGACGCGCCACCCCATTCATGCAACTAT